TTTTAACAATTTACAACTTAATTATTATTTAACTTTTTTTTTTACATATGAAGTTTTTAGGAAAAAAAATAATAATTGAAGTTTCAAAGGCGTACACACGTAACCGTGTCTGAAATTTGGACTATTTTTAACCATGTCCCCGTATCCTTCGTTTTAAAAAAATAAAAGATTCGACACTTAAATATGTACCCGTACCCAAGTCAAAGCACCATAGACTCCAAGTAACATGCACGAAAAATATTCCTAATGCTAAGAGCAAAGGCATCACTGAACATTCTAAAAGTTGATATAGATGAACACGAAAGACCTTCGCAAATTTTTCTTAGGCCCGAAAACAATAAAAAATCCTAGTCCTAATCACTTTCCATCACAAAAAATATTGCAGCGTCGGAACTTATGACAGATAAAATCTAATAGTTTTCTAATCATTCTAACATTTTTTAATGGGAAAATGTCAAACGAGCATATTCTCGTAGCATGTCTGAGTGGGGCTTATTTGGTGCATATATGTAGGAGAGAGAAGTATGTTCTAGAATAATTTCTCTATCCTCCTTATAAGCACCAAAGAAGTTCCACTCAAACATGTTCTCAATCCTTTTTCTTTTAAGATATATGAAATTGCTTAATTACCAAGTTACTAATATAATTAAAAATATTCATTTTTTAAATCAGTTTTCCAAATTTATTTTTCAAGTACTATATAAGTGGTGGATTCTATTCAAATTGACACGTGTTTGCAAAAACTCGTTGCAATTGAGATAGCAACAACAATTTTTTATTTTGTTAAATTGGGCACATAACATTTCGTGCACCTATAAATAGTTAATTATGCAATCATACAAGCTCCTGAATTCAGTTATCCACTAATACACCAATATATTAGCTCTTTTGGATCTTATAAAACAATAGAAGCATGTTATTTCTTACTGTAATTTCTCTTCATTTATCCCTTATCCTGTAGCTTCCTGGAATCAATTCATTTCACAAAATTGATTTAGGAGTCTTATTTCTGCAATGCAGGCAATCATTTACCGAATTTTGACAAAACTAACCACTTAGCAGCTTTGGGGAAGACAATAAGTAATGAATTAATCTGTACCTAAAATTTATTGTCAAGTTATAGTGAATTATGTGTTCTCAAAGAATCTAACAAAAAGTTTCCTAAGACCTAAGCAACTAGCGCTAAGAAATAGTTGCATCGAATGGGACTCTTAGCCAATGACAATATTCCATAAGCACCTAGGCAAGCACCCCCAAGGAATTGGTTCAAGAGGAAATTGAATAATAACTTTGACATGAATCAGACATGTAAAGACAAACCTGGAAAGCAGGCCCAGCTTCAGCAGAATTCATCACACTCCAGCATGCCATAAATGCAAACAGGAACAATCTTCTTAAAATGATTACGGGTGGGGGTACTTCCACAAAACTAAGCAAGTTCTTAACCCAAGGTGGAGACTCCTCGACCTTCTTCTTTAGCCTGGTCTTCAAATTAATCTTTGTTTTTTTCCTATTCTGGAAGCTGCTCATCAGCAGTTTCTCAAAAGCAGCTTCTATTGATTCCCAACTTCTCTCATGACCAGCATACTGGCTCAACAAAAAATTCCGAGCACTCCAAACTTCTTCCTCAGAGGCATCAGTAGTTATACCCAGCCGCTTATAAGGATCCCATACATTAACCCGGGGAAATTTCGAGGTGCTACCTATAGATATTCATAAACTCAAAATAATTTTAAACCAAAAATTGCAGTACCATATTCAAATTTCACCCCTATTTGATGGCCATTATTTTGAGAAAATTGAGTTTTGAATAGTTTTTTTTTTTTTTTTTGGAGAATACGTGGTTAAAAAGTAAGAAAAAGTTTTGGGTTTACGTGCAAAATATTTTATTGTACAAATATGTGGTTGAAAATGAGTACGAGAATTAAATAGTTTTGAAATTATGGTTGTCAAACAGGGGCCTCATTTAGCCAGATAGGAAATATATGTAACTTAGGCCCCAGCACGAAACCTGATTAATGGATATGGAAAATCGGTATTCAACGTACCAAATTCTTGAAGTTACCTAATGACTATGGTCTATGAAGATAAAAAACAACTAAGGTTTTACCAAACCAGTTGACACCACAAACACTGAATTTTAGATAGAAAAACAAAAACTTTTCCTTGAAAAAAAAAAGCTCTTTTTCTTACGGTCAAGTCTGACCCAAATTTTTTTATTTATTTTCTAACTTCCTTATTTCATATTGAGTAAATGTCCTTGTAAGTAAATTTTTTAAGCTTAGCCAGGCGTGCTATTAGCGCTTGAATTCTGTATGTCAAGTACATTTACCTTCAAACGGAGTATCCACGGCACATCTAGGGCTCCTAAAATTAAAGATGCACGGCGTGATTCTCTTCGAATTACCTCGAGCTGAACTGCATCAAAAATTATTATTTTTTTTTAGAAAAAGAATATAAATCTATGAACAAGAATATAAATCGAATTAATACAGAATATAACAAAAAACTTACAGTTGATGACCAAGGAAAGAGGATGAAAGTGTCGGGTTTGAGAGAAGATTTGCCGCCATGAGCTTAAACTTTGTTTAAGCTTTCTTCGTCTATGCGATAATCACAATGACTGGGACGCCATGGAAGAGAGAGGGAGGAGGAGGAGAGATAATGCCAGTCTTAAATCGGGTTATGGGTTTTGGTAGGTGAAATGACGAGGGAGATGGTCCGGATTCGAATTCGGGTTTGGATTTGTAAGATTCAAAAGTGGATTGGATTCGCGTAGGCAGGCCCCAGTTCGAACCCGCTAAGCTGTCCGGTATCAAGCCTGCACCCAAATTGGGACAGTTCACGAATAGGCCCATCTTTACTGGAGGGCGGGTCCAATCTAGAGTGGCTCTGGCCCAATAATTAATTCTAGGCCGTGAATAATTTGAAAATGAAATATGGGAAAGGCAATGTTGAAACGAAACCTAAAAGAAAGTGGGGTCAATTTGTTCCTTGGAAACAATAACGAAATTAAATTGATTGGCTTGAGTTAACTTGATTTAAAGTGGGGCTTTATTCATTTTCTATCTTACAATTGAAATTCTAAAATATCGATTTAACTCAAATCGAATTGAATCGACTTGCTTCTAAGTTGAGCTAACAGATCGATGTTGTCTTTTTGAAAAAATTATCAATTCGGTATAAACATGTATCGGTAATCGAGACAAGTAGGTTCTCGCAAGGCTTCGAGCCTTGTTAGTTTTGTTTACAAGTGGAAAAGTTTAGAACAAATTATTTAGATTTGTCTTTAAGGTTTACGTTGAATTTAGATAGCTAAAGTAGTTATTATTTGTTTATCTGTATCATCGTTTGGAAGCATTCGTGTTATTGCTTTGTCCAACATGGATGTCACATGCAGACCACAATTGCGACAACAATACTTTGTGCTAACTGTAACACCTCGCTAATGCCAACAACCTTGGAGCACGAGGTTTAGAGTGTGTCCCTAGTGGAAAAGGGCTCATATGGCTTGTCATTTGGCGAACCTCCAAGCTAGATAAGAGGAAGTGAGCCCGAACCTTCGGACCCCTCAAGGGCGAGGGAGGTGTTGAGCTTGTTTCCCTTGAAGAATGCTAGAACAAGCTGAATGTCCTTGCCACAGAGTGAAGGAAATCACTTAATGCAATTCTATATTATTTTGCAGTGTATATTATGAACCTACTAATGCTATGGAAATTGTATGTACAAAGTGTGCATAGCAAAATAAATAAATTATGGGGTCCACAAATATATATGTAATTAGGATATTTGTCAATATGTAAAAAGACAAACGAGCCCCTTTCAAAAAATGGTGACTCGCAAACATGAAATTCTATTATTAATAGGAATAATGTTACTTGCAGTCGCTCACTGCAGCAGTCGCCCTATATGGCACACACATGACATGTAGTTATGTCTTTCAATTTCTGCAAGAGTTTCTTAATGCCAAAATCATTATAATGTAGTTTGCTTGTATTTGTATCATTTAATTAACAGAACATACATTCTCAAAATGAACCATTTGACTTTCTTTAATTGCTATTAAAAGCTTATTTTATTGTGTGTGCAATGTACAAACAATAATCACTTAATTTTCACCGCAACATTGTTTATATCAGACACCCTAACAACCAGCAGTTTACAAAGGAAAGTCTACCAACAAAACATTCTTTGGAATCTCAGATTTGTTGGGATTTATGTTTCTATAAATCCTTAAAACTGAGGAAAAGACATAGAAGATCATCCACATAAAGCCCTTTGGATAGGTGTAAAACTAGCCGGCCACGGCCAACAACTGTTCACAGGATCCAAACTAGGCTCTCGGAAAGAACATAAACCGACACAGCCTTCAGGCACAACCTATGCCAAGAAAACAACCCATATGGGCTGCAGGCATGACCCAGCTCTCTAGTCGAACTTCACAACACATCTGAATATTTATCAACTGTGGATTGCACAAGGATCAAAAATACATATATATCCTCTGGCATTATGTTCAATAAACACAGGCCGATGAACAAAAAAGGAAAAGAAAATAAAAATAAAGGTTTAACCTTGGGCAAATCCAGTTTCCAGTAAAAGAAAACCTATATTTGCATCCTTCTGTGTATACTGAGGATAAGTCAAATGTCAGTATAACCCTTGAATGGCAGGGTAAGCTTCTATACATGAATTGTATCATCAACTTAAACAAAAAACATAAATGTGATCCCGTTGCAAGCAAGCCTCTCCACACTTCGTTGATAATCTTCAAGAAAGCAATGTCGAAGCAAATTCTTGTCTCAAAATGACCCCGTCAACAAATGTTGTATTGATATCTATTACTCGACTGCGTGGATTCCGACCAAATGCTATCGGGAAAGAGGTTCAAATACCACCTCATGGATCATTTTCATCTAATTGTTGCAAACACTCCTGCGGGTTGGCATAAAAATAATCCTCTTCTTTAGGTTTATCGGGAATCACCAACCTTTCTGTTGGGTTCCCCATGCGTTCAGCATGAATGTCTTTAACCGCAGCAGAAAACTCATCCCAAGTTAGGGACCCGGATTTATATTGGTCTATTAGATTGACTAAAAGCCTTCTATCCAATAAAATAGTTTTCTTGTACCCGAGATATCTGAAAGAAACACCACCACAGAAATTTCAGATAGAAATATATAGAGAAGGTATAAAAGAGAGATCTACTAAATTGATTCTTTTTAGTCTTCAAATATGAAATTCAAAGGAATCAAATAGGAAGGAATACTCTGAATCATAAAACTATTATGAAATACACTTTAACTTGACAAATCAACCAATGCAATAAGTCTGGGCTTAACAGAGAATCAGTTTTAGGATATGAGTTCAAACTTCACTGTGGTCGTAAATTCTACTCGACTTTTTGCCCTTTATATTTGATTAATCACTGGGAGAAAAGAGAGAATATAATGCAAATTGTTGAAATCTTCTTTCTAATTATTTTCAAGGCGAGTCAAATAATCACAAAATCATTACCTCCGATGGCCTTCAACAACTTTAGCCATATTTCCATCGTAGGTGGGAACAAAGATATCACTCTTCAGCGAAACAAGATAATCGAGTGCTGCCATTTGAGACGAGTGATTTTGAAAGAACCTAAGGTCTGAAGATTCCAATAGTGTCTCCTTCCGAACCTGTTATAATAAAGCAAAAGACGCATAATGAAAAAACAAAACACATGTCGATTACAAAAATCCTAGTTCACTCTGCTTATTTATTTACCAAGTTTGGATAAGCTACTGCAAGTCTATTCATTCTTCTTTGTCCACCATAAATTTCTCCAGCAGCAATGTAAATCTGGATATTGCAATCAATGTCCAATGCCCTTAATGTGAGAGCAGTTTCCTCAGGAGTCAAAGGACAGAGACCGTCTTTCCTTTTCAAATCAGAGTTTATGATCTTCTCTTTCCACCACGGGTAAGCATATCTGGTGAGGCGAGAGGCGAAAGCTTAGCAAAACAACAAAAAAATATTCAATCTCTATAGACACTTGTACAATACTATTGAATCATCTTATTTAAAAGCTTCAACCGTTAACAAGTACTTTTAATAATCTAACTAATATCTTCAATATGCCACCTCATGTGCACGCCAGATCAAAGGACTGACACGTGTACAATTTTTAGTGTCACAATTTTTCATAAATAGGTGACTGCACGACTTGAAGTTTGGACCTCTACATACTCTGGTACCATATTGAATCTTCTCATCTAAAAGTTTAAACTATTAGAGAGAGAACAAAGTCATGTATTTAAATTATGTCTTCAACAATACAAAGGAAGTAGCTAACCTCATTCTTGTCAACTCGTTCACCTCCTCCTTATTGCAGCCCTGAGTACACCCAGAAAAGGCTAACATGTCCATTTCATATCTAAGATGAAGTACCATGAAAGGACCATTTTGCCTAAGTATTTTAATTACTTTTCTGCCCAAATCTTCAATCTGAGGAGTGAATCTCAAAGCATTGAAGTTTACTCGGCAGCGAAGCCTCTGAATCTCCAAGGGCTGACCATTATTGGCAAGGCGAGCATCCGTTCTATTTAAATGGACAACTTTATATTTCTGAATCAGAGGAAGAACCTGCATGTATGATGTAACAAGAATGAAATACAATTGAAGTAGAAATCAAAATGATACATGTTGGATACTATGAAGCTTGATCGTATTGTATACTTTTACCCCCAACCACAAATCAACTTAATGTTCCTACTACGTAAAGGATTTATTAGGGTATATAGGTGACAATTTTGTGAGATAGATATAGACTGAGAGGTATGAGATCACCATGGGCATTCTCCTTCATTATAGAGAAACCTGCACTGGTAGATTGACGGTGATAAAACTATGTATTTGCTCGTGTGTGTTTCTGATTTCGTTTTACTTCATATTGATCTTATGGTTGGGATGGGTCAAAACAACAAGATCACAAATCACCTACCTGATTCTGATAGTAAGAAATGTCCGACCAACTAATGGGGGGCATCGTGTATACCATTCCTAGCTCAACTCTCCTCTTGACTCTTGGCGGTAGCTCCTTCAATATCCGAACTTCATCTCTCAAGGATGTGATGAAATGGTCGACATCAAATATGTCACGAAATTCACTGCAAAATCAAAGACGACAAATGCGTTACCACGGAAAAGAAACTACATGCAACTTATGAATGAAGAATCAATTTATAATTTAAAGTTGGTATGCATGAGAAGCCAGGCATACCTAGGGTCATTCCAGAAAGAAGTCTTATCCAGCTCAGGAACTATCAATGTAACATTCAAATATCTTGCAATTGCAACCATGTCACATATCTGTAGCCAATCAAAGGAAAATTCCAGTCAACCATTTGATTTGTTTGGGAAAACTGAGGAACTCAAATATGTTCCTATGTCGTCATGTGCATATCAAACTACTAAAAACAACCCACCGCAGCGCGCATTTGGTTAAGCCCTCCGTTGCACGAAACCATCAGGTAGCCATTGTTCTTGTAGACCCCTATATTCAAAACATAACATCAAAAGGACAGTTCACAACAGAATTCACGCAGTAAAAAGGTTCAAATGGAGTTATTCCTTGAGTATCATGCAAAACGAGTTCATACTAAAAGAATAAAATGGGGAAAACAATACAATGATAACTACTACTGCTACAAGGTAAACCTTAGTACCGAGAAATTTGATGTTGGCTACAGAAATTCCTTTTCCATTTCATTCAATCTAGATCAATACGAGGAAATGTAATAAGCCAATTTGATAAAAGAAGAAGAAATGGTGAAAGGGCTAAGGATACTATATGCAGAATCATGTATTGCTGCACTACAACTACACGAACATAGAAACCATCCAAAGAATTGAAGAATCTACACGTCATTCAATGTTTAAATTGTAGCCTGTATTGAAAGAATTGATCCATGGATTTTGTAGAGAGAGATTTCATGAACCTCATAGGTTTACAGAAGAGGAAAGGGATATATTTCATTCAGATTATACTTTATACTGCATAATTTCTCACTTGTAACTATAAAAAAAAAAGGTCAACGCATATAATACTAAATGTAATGGAACATCCCTAGAAAAGAAATTACTTCATCACACAAACATTTATTATACACCTGCATTTTTAAGGAAGAAAAAGGATTGAAAACAAGAACAGACGTGTTATCGATTCCTCTCTACTTAAAACATACAGCAACCGATATTGTTTACTTCATTAATTAAAGTGTAATGACTAAGCATGAGTCCCACATTGCTATTTGAAACACTTCAGCTTATGCAGTTAGATAAGAAAGTTCAAAGCAGCAAAATTTGGATAACACAAGTAACAACTTTTGATGAAAGATAGTTCAATGTGGTGTTAGAGCAGCAAAATCTGGGATCGTTCAGCAACACACCTATAAAACAAAAACAATCCACGTAATCCACGTGTAAGGACATTGACGAAAAAAGGAATCTAATCTGCAAGGTTGGGGGCATGTCGAAGAATTTATCCCTCTCGCTAACAGCTCAAGATTTTGATAATATGGCTCGTGTACCTTGTGCACTGATAAGGGTGAGTTTTCAACAAGTGTTTGTAATCAAGACATCATTTTGCACAATGAATTCACTTATTTCCATATACATATTCCTCAAACACTTTGAAGATTAAAAAAGTAAAGCCACTCACGCTTCGCAGGCAGAACTCTGTCCGGAAGCTCCAACGAGGACTTAACCTCCAAGGTGGCGGCCGCAGCTGATTCTCGAGAAAAGCATGAAGGCCAGCCCTTCAACACTCTTGGCCCCCACGTCTCTCCCAGTGCCATCAACTGAACCAAGCAAGTACACAGTAAAACCAATGTCATTGCCCTTATAATCCACATCCTCATTCTCCGCCGCGCCACCACCCCATTACTCCTCAGCTTCTCCAATCTATCCCCTCCAAACGCCGTCGTTTTCAACCCCATTACTCCACCTGCTCCCTCAATTCCACACGTGTCAACGCCATACACTCAGTTCAGCAACTTTTGCACGCACTTATTGAAAACTACGTCGTTTTGGTTTTGGATCAAGTACAGAGAATGAGATGAAAGACTATTCAGAGGACGATCAAAATCTCCAATCAAAACGAGAAACAGCAAATGCTTTATGGAGATCAAAAGGAAATATTCTTTTATACACGAAAACTCAAAATGGGAATTTAATTTTTCACACACACATTACAGTAACAGACAAGAAAAAACCTCGATCTTACAGGATCCCGGGGCAAAAATTGAAGTTTTCGAGGTTTGAAGCGAAGAGATGAAAAGGGTTGGTCGGAGATCCAGTGGGTAATCCAGGAAGGTAATGAAGGATTCTCCGGCAGCTGTGGACACGTATATGAGATTGCGGTGGTGGGAATTGAAAGGGCGACAGAGATAAGAAGACAGAGCCCGTTGGTGGGTGCAGTTCATATGATTGATTGATGACAGAGTTTAATCTCCTGTGACGAGCTCCATCATATCACCGACACTATTCATCTTCTTATACAAATCAGCTCAGTCAGTTTCACCTCAATTTTTTTTGTTTTTTCAACATTTTGACATTTCATCATTCACTTTTTTCGAGCCTGTCCCAATTTTTAAAACATTAAGCCCATGTTTGGTAGATATTAAAATTTTCATTCTCATTTTCAATTACACATTCTTTAATAAAATAATATTTTTCATCACATCAATAACTTTTCATTCTTCTTCAACCACAAATTCTCCATCTATGTATTATTCCAAAATACATTCTTCCAAACTAATGTGGCTCAAACACACCCTTACGGCTTTGAAATAATGGTCCTGAAACAGGGGTTGAAATAATTATTTACTTAATTTTTTTCAATCGAAGTTCTCAATCTTTCTCTGCAACGGCAGATCTGTCTCTCACATACCAATGCTAGAGAATCCAAAGCTGGAACCGGACGATGACACCTCCACCAATTCTGTAGCTGTCAATTCAGCAGCGATGCAATTCGGCATGGCAGAGCCCTAGATCTCGAGCTCGAGACCATTCTCTCCTAGCTCTCCGATTTGGACGGCCAACTCTCTGGCCTCCACAAATCCGCAGAGGTTTTTGATATTGGCAAAGCTGATTCTGCCTACAGGCTTTCCAATGTCGGCTTCACCTCCTCCCTCGCGAACAGGTATCTGCCAAAGTGCACCACCTCGATCTTACCCAATCTCGATTCAACGACACAACCTACGAACTTCTCAAATTTCGGCGCCATCCTGAACACCCATGGTCACGGACCACCTGGGCTAGGTCCCTCTTCATCGGCGCACCTAGCCCAACCATGGGTCTAGGTCAATTTCGACATGAAGCAGTTCAATTCGTAGGAGAAATACTATGTTCCAAAAATTGTAATTGGATTTCGACCTGAAGTTCTAACGAATCCAAGCAAAATTGTGGAAAACCCATGGGTGGAATAGCTTCGCCATGATGAGAGGATGCTGAATTGAGTGGTTCACGACCATGGGTCAAAGGGACGACGCCGGAATCAGCCAAGTTCAGTGCGTGGTGCAATAGTCGCGACTGCGTTATTTTCAGTTTCAAATTGAACCTGTTGGATTAATGTTTTGGATTAATTGCCCCCATGGCTGAGGTCGTCTGGGTGTGGGCAACCAGATGGTGGTGGTCCGCGATCCTGTTGCTAGCCGAAGGTGCGACTTCCAGCAATTTGTCCATTTTTCGAGTAGCTGATTTTGCTTGCTAATTTCTGCCGGATTATTGGATGATATGGGGAATTCTTGGGATGAAATTGTAGAAGGTGTTGAGGAGATTGTGTTGGTATCAATGTCCGAAGGTTGTGGAGCAGTCGACGAGGTGGCCTTCGTGAGATCCGACACACTTAGTGGCGCTTGGTTGACTCCCCCCTCCGAGCTTGATGCGCCTGATAGAACTATTATCCCCAGCCCTTGCTTCACCGTGGAGAAGAGTAGATGTAGTCATCGGACAGTGGAGGTGATGGAGGCGAAGAGAAAGTGTGTTTTTGTTATTTTTTAATATTTTCATAAGTTTTGGACTGATTTGTATTTTTAAAAAAGTTTAGAATCAGATTGCAATTTATTCTTTATTTTTCTTTTCTTTTATTTATATAGGAGGGTATATTGGTCATTTTATGTTAAAAATTGGTGAAAATGACTTTTTGCGCAAAGAATGTGAACGGTAGGGACGTTCTGCGCCAGTTACCCTAAAAATAATTATTGTTATTCACTAATTAGCAAGGGTAATGCTATGTAGCCACCCTGGTTGTAACATCAGTTGATGTGGCTCTAAATGATACGTTAAATAGCATTACTCAATTAGTAATTACAAATTTCATCAAGATTAATTTTTCCTTTTTTTTTAGGTTAATCTTTTTAAAGGTATCTTCATTTACAAAATAGATCAGATCGGCCACATTAGATTAGGGCATTTAGTTATGAGTTATTTGGATTTTTCTTGCCTAAAAATTAATGCAATCAATTCTAGATATATATTTTAGATAGGAAATACAATTCTACGACACAAATCAAATTCTACCACAACTATCGTCGAAGCTTACGAACCTATTTGTCAGTGACGTATTGAAAACATAATAGATACAACCAAATATTAGATGGATTGATGGATAAAGATGAACATAGATTCTCCTAGAATAAAATTTAAAATATATTTATCATTAAATTGACTTTAATATTGAAACCAATAAATTATCTCATTTATAGCTAGAATGGTTAATCTTTTTTCCTTTAAACATGGATTTTTTTTGGTATGGACTATTATTAATTAAGTAGTTGATTGGTTTCTCATGGCTACTATTGTTAATAGGGAAAAGTAACATTCTTGATTCTTGACCCTAATGCCTACTTCGATTTTTGAAAAAGGAGCTAATTTTTCAACTTATAGATGTCATCCTTGTATATTTAATTATAAGACGTTGAATTTTATTTTTAAATTGGATCAGTATCTAAAAATCTAAAATGAAACGTATCGTGTAATAATAATTTAACGAAAATTTGGACCGTTTCGTCACCAATAGTAAAAACTAAAAAGCTAAATTCAATTATTTAAGAGAGAGGGTCTATTAAATAAATCAAATGACATTCTAACAAACTAATAAATTTGAGCGGCGAAGCTTGTTAGGAGGTGTATGAGCACTGTGCACACCAGAATATCTCACCTCAACTACTAGAATTAAATTGCAGCCAATTAAAGAACGAGGAGCCAGCTAAAGGCGGACCCACTAATATTTATTTAATGGGTCACTATACAACATCTTTCATATTATCGAAATATATGGATTTTATGCATAAAATTGACGTGTCGGTCATGTGATGTCGTGCCACAAGATACCGACAATTCCTTGTGTTTTTCACTCGCCGAAAATTTCAAATACTAGCATTGTCCAATCTCGTTTTCCCAAAATTTATTTTGAATATAAAATTCATCTTCAACCACGTATTCACACGATAAAATATTTTACACGTAAATTCAATTTTTGTTTTTCAAAAAATTATTATTCCAAAATTTATTAATCCCAAAAAATGGGGTTCAAACACTGGCTTAATTTTTTTTCCCCAGATGCATTCCAATTGAATTGTTTTATGGAGAAATGAAATTCCCAAAATTGTAAATTTTGAGATAATTTATTATTTCAAAAAAAAAAAAATTGATACGAACCCGAGTAACAATAATAGTTACGGAACCCACGACAATTTAGAACAAACTCAAGAAAGCCAAAAATCAACGTTTGAAAAACGCGATCCAATAAATTATTGAACCAAAGAATCAAGATAATCACTAACAATATCTTGATCCCATAATCATAAAATTTATGAACTTTACTTAAATTGTAAAACGCCACGAGAATTTAATTCTTGATAAATTTAAAATTAATTCAATGTAGAACGAGAAGAAAGTAACATGTCTCGCAATAATATCTCTCAAATTGTGTCTTTACAATGAATGGAATGAGTCTTATTTATATGGAACCCATAAACCTACTTAAAACGAAATTAATAATCAAAAAATCAAAAATTACCATAAAACTAGAATTTTAAATAAACTAAGATTCTTTCTAAAAATTGAAAAAATCACCACAGAATTATGCTATGCGACCGCATAGTGTATGGACATGCGGTTGCATAGTTCATACAAAAGTGTTACTCTGATTCTTGGTATAAAGGCATGCTATTGCACACCTAGGGTCACATAGTTACTTTTTTCAGTTTTCTCATATGTTGTTTAAACCAACTTAATCCATCTTGTTCTTTCTTCCAAATCCAACATAAAATTTGTTCATTTGCTTATTGTGATCGATATTTCGTCCACTGTAGTTTAAGCGAGCAATCTCATAGCTTCATTAACCTTATTTGCCCGTGACCTCGTCATTGGTCCTACTTCCACAATCAACGGATTCTTGCTTGAACTTGTCATCATATCATGGATCACAACATAAGCCTATTTAGTGTAGCTAAAAATCAATTTTTTAGTAAAATTTGATAAAAGTTGATAACATATATTTAGTGGCAGAATCAGACATTTTAGAGTACAATTATACTTACAAAAAATGTGTGAAAAAATTAAAGTATTTTATATCTTATTATAATTGTTCCATACGTGTTCTCATACTTTGATAACGTTCCATAATTACATCGTTTTCAATATATCAAACACATTATTCTCAATATATGCAATCAAACTATCATTCAATTACTGATCTTCGATTCGATTGCGCAGACAATTCTTAACATAAGTTGACACAAAAAATGCTATCTCAACTGTAGCAATAGCCACGGAAAGAATTAAAGCCAATGTCACAAACTTGTAAATTAATAGATACACTTCGTGTTTATTTTTCGCAACCAATTTCTATGCAAGATTACTAAGAGCATGTAATCCTCCAAAATTTTCCTCAGTGCGCATGTCAAGAATATATGTATCAAGTTTCAAGATATTTACTGCGTCAAATCTACCGAATAATTCTCACATAATCAAATCACTTTATTCTTTTCAAAAGCAGCAAGTAAATTATTTGGACACAAACACGCGACACGAAGGAGCAAGCCATTATTTACCTAAGAAAAATAATCATTTAGCTCTTGAAGTTGCATATCAATGATGACATAAAACATTTCGACACGAAAGTGATGCAAAATTTGCCATTGTATCATGCAGTGAACGACCAGAGTTATGAACATATCATCCATATTAGGCACATTGATTTTGTGTGTTTCACAAAATGAACCAACCAATCAAAAAAAAAAAAAGAATCACATGCATTATCCTTCATGGTTTGGAGATGTACTTTACATAATTTCACCAGTCTTATGGTATTGACAATATTTTGTTCTTTCCTTTGTAATACTTTCAACGATTCATTTGAAATTTCCAAGAGTTTTTTTCAAAATGTAGATTAATTACAAATTCAAATTTTAAATCGACTCCAATTAAATACATGCATCACCTCGTGTTCAAAAACTTGTAGTACAATAGCAATTATCTTAACAACTTCAACTGTGGTTGAAAACATAACAGTCAAGTTAACCAAACAACTATAGTGAGAGCTCTAACGTGTATCATCGGAATACATAAGAGTAGTTTCTTAATTAAGACCTTGTCGGCTTGATATTTCACCAACACTGAGTGTTTCAAGAATTTTGAGTCTTTGTTTCTCTCGTATAAGATTACAATGTTTAGCTGACCCTCCAACAACATTCACCAATTTGTGTATGAAAGTGAAAAAAAGGTTCAATCTTCTAATGTTTTTTGTGCTACGGCTACAAGAACTAGTTGAAGTTGATGAGCAAAACAATGAATGTAATAAGCACTTGGGTTTTCTTTTAAAATAAGTGTTTTGAGATCATTATACTTACTTCGCATATTACCAACTCCATCATATCTTTGACCTCTCAAATTAGATATACTTAAATCATGCGTGAAGAATAATTGATCAATTACAGCTTTAAATGAGACAACTGTAGTACTTGAAACATGTGTGACTATGACACCAATAAAAAGTTCCAATATACGCTCATTCTTCACATAATGAATAACAACTAACATTTGCTCATTCATTGAAATGTCTCGAGATTCATCAACTATAATAGAAAACAAGCTATCACCAACATCTTTAATGTTCACTTTTAAAATTTCAAAGCAACAACACTCACAATACCTTTTTGAACTCGAGGTGATGTTATTTTGAGATTTTATGGCACATTCTTCCAAGTAATAGTCTTAATCTCAACATTATGATTACACAACCATGCAATAGTTCAAGCAAGTTCTCTTAATAGTTCGAATATTCAGATTCATCATGTCCACGAAATGTCATCTCTTATCATAAAAGAAATCGAACACAATCAATAGACGCATTCAAACGTATTTGAAACTCATTTTGAGCTTGATGTGATTGTTTAAAGAGACAAGATCAACTGCTTTGTTCTTGATTCTTGAATAATTTATATTTGATCCAAGTCTGATCGTGTGCACTACTAGAAGTCCCAAAATGTTTTCTAATATTTTTTTCCTTTTACTAATTTGAGAACCCGTCATTAACAAATGAACTACCACTCAAATTGAAAAGATAGCAGTGGAAGCAAAATATAGCATCTTTTGCTATTGTATTCCAACCAACTAGGATGTTCATTGTACCATAAAATACAAAATCATCTATCTTTGTTATTCATTATTGTTGGTGGATGTAACACCCCGAATTTTCTTACTATTTTTAAGGGCCTAAATTTAATGTTGGTCATTTTGCAAGTGAAATAGTTTATGTATGGACTTGTCATCACAATAATGTCCAAAAGTTAAAGTGATAAGATTAACCCATTTATTTACAGAAATGATTTATTTTTTTCTTATATTTATTTTTTGAGAATTTGTCGTAAATTTGGTTTGGTTCGAATATTTAAGTATTATAGTAGTCGATGAAATATATCAAATATTATACTCATTTTGTAACTCGTATTAGATAAAATAATTGGAATCAAGAAAAATATATTTTTTGAACTAGTTGTGTTCGAGTTATTTTAGTAAGAAAAGAGTATGTTATTATAATATTTTATTTATAAAAGTAATGAAGAGAATGATGGTTGCCTTGGAAATTTATTAGGTGTTCTACTCTCCAAAATATTATTTTTGCCTTCAGTTTGACTCCATTATGCTTGCAATTATTTCGTTCATTCCACGGGAATTAGAAGAGGAGGAGAGGTAAAAATAATGAAGAGAAGAATATCCAAATAACACTTACATCTTTAGTAGTTGTAGTGACTGAGCAAAACGGTGTGCATAATAGCATATAGACAATTTCGAATGAACAATGCTCGAAGTCTATATCAAGCATTAAGCATATTACTAGCACCATCGTACCTTGAACGTTGCATTTTATGAATCCGAAAGTTATAGTGAACAAGAATATCATATGAGTGAAGAACCTTCTCATCCAATGGTCCAAATTAATCACCACTAGATTGGCCCATCGAGGAACAAGACCAGTGGGCTTTTTTTTTCCTCCAAACGGCCCAAATGACTCAGGTCCAACTAGGGTGAATGCGTTCGATTTGAATAGTTTTTGTCCTATTTTCAAATAATACTATTAAAATGATTTAAAAAGTTTTAAATCTGAAGAATATACGGTTAAAAATGAAAAAAATTTGAGATTTGAGGTGGCTCCCCGTCATGCAATTAAGTTTTAGGTGGTTGAATTTTGGTCACATGTGGATTAATTAACCCCTATATATCTCTCTTTAAAACAATTTTTTTAATTCTTATACTCATTTTTAAGCACACATTTATACAATAAAATATTTTACACGTAAACTCAAAAAATTTCTCCACTTTTTAACCACAGATTTTCCAAAAAATCACTATTTAAAACTTCATACATTTTTTAATAACGGCCATCAAATAAAGGCTAAAATTCGTTGTTAAGATTTGAATTTAATTTAATTTTAACATGTATATTGTGTGTTTCATTGAAATTAGTAGTCATTTTCTTTGCACAGCTTTGCAAGCATTGTGTATCCCACGAGGAATGATTATTCAATTACATAGTTAAATTTAATTTAGTTTAAATTTATTTTTATAGAATTTTAAGCTATTTTCATTATAATATTTGAATTTTATAATGAAACACACAATAAAATTGTTGTTAAATAAAATTAAATCAAGAATTTAATAACGATTTTTTAATTAAAATCCAAATTTATTGTGAGTCATATAAGATATTTTTCAAAGTTTACTCGCAAAAGCTCGACCTTCTTATAGTTTAATGGTCAAAATTCGACCATCTCAAAGTTTATTAGCCGAAATTCGACCACAAGTTTAATGAACAATAGAAGACATTTTTCAAAATTTAGTGGTCAAAATTCGACCATCTTAAAATTTAACAGTGTGACGGGACGTCACATGTGCATTCCGTTAAAAGTTTGAAACGAAAGTTATTCAAATAAGTAACGTACAACGTTTTTCAAAGTTTAATGACTAAAATTCAACATTTTAAATTTCAGCGAACAATCGAAAATCTAGACATGAGTTCAATGATCATTAGAACAATAAACTTCTTTTTATCGTAAACTTGGGTACGGCTTCATCATTTGTAATTGATTGCGGAACTACATTAGGACCCATTTGCGAAAGGTAAGAGTTTGGAGACCAACTTGTACTGGAACAATGGAATAGAGACCAGAAGTGCAATTTTCCCTTCTATTTTTCACTCTTAAAATATAAAGATATAGGAATACTTGGTTCGGAAAATTTCGTTGTGGGGATATTTTGTCAGTGACTCAAACTCTTAAACTGAACTTTCATTGTCGGCAATCGTGAGCAGCAATCGCTGGAAAAATCGTCGGAATTTATATTATCTTTGTTAACCTGGCATATTTAAAGGGTTAGTGTAATATTATGAAAGATATGCTTGCAATAGGAGGTGGAGGTGGAGTTGGTGGCAGGTTTTTTTGGGGTGGTGGGGACAGGAGGCTGAGGCCGCAACTCCACCCGAACCAAGTTTTGAAGTGTCCAAGGTGTGATTCGCCAAACACCAAGTTCTGTTACTATAATAATTACAACCTTTCTCAGCCCCGCCACTTCTGCAAGAGCTGCCGGAGGTACTGGACTAGAGGCGGCGTTCTCCGCAACGTCCCCGTTGGAGGTGGCTTCCGAAAAAAGAAGCGGTCGCAGCCTAAAACAAACTCAAGTTCAGCCGTTGATGGTCCCAGTGAAAGGAAATCGAATTCCCATTCGAGTAGTGAGAGTTCCAGCCTCACCGCCGCCACTACGGAGGCCACTCCAGCTTCCGCCGTCACCGGAACCGGCGTCTTCGTCCCCAACACCGAAGTGGGTTCGTCTCCGCCTAGTGGTTTATCCAATTCCGCTACGAATATAGCGTACAATTTTCCAGATACGAGGTTTTTTAACGTAAATTCTGAGGAAACAAACACAAACCCTAGGTTTGATCATCAACCTCCGGTCACTCAACCAACGGACGGCGAGATCTTCCAGGAGATGGAGAATTTCACAACCCTAACGACATCTTCAGAGGACCCGGCTATTATTCTGGGGTTCAGCGTGGGCGACATTTCGCCGTCTTACGGCCGGCTCCGACGAGCCCCCCAGATCAATCCCGCCTCGGAAATGGTGGCACCGCCCTCAGTTGATGATTTCAAGCCTCGGGAAATGACTGGTGGGTATTTGAGTCATCAGATTGATTTCACGGGAATGGAGCAGAACAGAATGAGCAGCGGTAGCGGTGGACATACGACGTCGCTGGGTGGCGGAGATCAAGGGCTCTTTGATCTAACGGGGTCTATTGATCAAGCATACTGGAGTGAAGCTCAGTGGGCTACTAATTATGATGATCAATCTCTTAATTATCTTCCTTAATCTTACTTTTAGTTTAATTAACTCTCAAGATAAGATACAAAATTCATCTTGAGAGGGAAAAAACTTATCTACATGAATGAATGCTTTTTTATGTAAATTTTTTTGCTTGTGTTTTGTTGGGTGATTGTGGTTGATATTTGAGCTGAGATTTGATCAGGTTTGTATGTAATGAACTAACTTTCCCAACTATTTCTTTTCTGAGGTTTTTTACTACACTTTTTATGTTGTGTTTCTAAGTTTCTTAGCCCCATGTTTATCTCACATTTATTCAAACAATCATGTTACACTATCATCTTGAATAATATCAAGGACATATTTTCGTTGGACTGTTTAAAAAATAGTCTACAATATCGTCAAATCATCTTTTTATACATTTTTTTCTGTCAACAAAAATATCAAATTTATCGGCAAAAAAACTGTAACCCTCTTTCAAAACACTTTTTACGATATATTTATTCTCAACCACCTTCACGCAATAAAATATTTTACACGTAAATTTAAATTTTTTTCCTACTTTTAATTTATATTTTTCAAAAATTCACTATTTAAAATAATGTTTTTCAGAAAAATGTCCATTGAACGTGGGCTAAATTAAGGCGTCATAATGGTAATGTGGAAAAACTTGTATGCGTCCTTTTTGCATGGCGATGAAATTAAGGTTGGATTAATTACGTAGTAATTTGAGGGATTAAGGTGGCGGGGAAAGAAAGTCACGTGGTCTGTTGGTGGTAGGGGACCAATCTTCCATGCCACATTCGTGGGACGCGTGTCAGAATTATTGGCTGTTTGTGGGGTTTTGTGAAACACGCATATATACAATTAATAGCGTGTCCGGTAAGCAACTCGGTGCATAGCTTAATGGTGCAAAAAATAGAAGTGAGGTGGTCTCAGTTGAGCTGGCAGCCGCAGTGTGAGGGTTCGATTCCTACCTCTTATACTTTATTGAATTGGACTCTCCAACGATTTATCTCATTCCCAATGCTCTAGGGACGGGGCGGGGTTCAACCTTTTTTATTAACGTGTGCGGTAAGCAATATTGTACGAGACTCCACAATGCTACAAATAAAAGTTTAATTAATTTTTTATTTAGCCCCGTTTGATAAATATTAAATTTTTAATTTTAATTAAGTCAAAATGCACAATTAGTTTTAATTCTATATTTTGTAGGATCTATAATTTTTCAATTATACACTTCATCAATTTTTATGAAAATCTACTCTTAATATTATACATTATCCATAGACAAGACCGTACAAATTCTCTTAACTTTTTAGAGCTTGTTTGCGAGGAATTTTTGGGGGGAAAAATTGATTTTTGAATAGTAATATGATGGGAAATGTGTAGTTAAAAAAGAAGAAAAAATTATTGATGTGATGGAAAATATTATTTTATTGAAAAATGTGTGATTGAAAATAAGAATTGATTTACTGTAGAATTTGAAAATCCCTCGCAAACATCCCCTTATAATGCTAATGTTAAACTAGAGTTCGTAGTGGTATTAGAAGAATGATAGTTATATTGATCGGGATACGCTATAAATGTCTCATGATTGAATGTAGTTAAAAAATTAATTAAATTTTAAATCAAAGTCGAAAAAATAATTTTAAATATTTTCATGGAATTTATAAATTTTTCAATTGAAAATGAAAATGAGTTAGATAATGGAACTAGAACATGAGCTAAATCAAACCAAAAATAAGCTTATTGTTGAAAAACTCACTAAAGGGCGTGTTCGGTAGATATTAAAATCGGATTAAAACTGAAAAATTAGCCATTATTATTACCTTTTATTACACTAGTGAGACTCAATAACAGTTATATTTTCAATTTTAATCCGATTTTAAGGTGTAACAAACATGCTCTAACAAATAACAAGATATTTCTAGAAGATTATTAAAGGTTTGTTAGAGTCCATTTTTGGGAAATATATTTTATAATAGTAATATTTTGAAAAATGTATAGTTCGAAAGTAGGAAAAAATTATGAATTTACCGTAAAATTATTTTATTATGAGAATATATACGATTGAAAATAAATTTTAAAAAAAANGTGTGAGGGTTCGATTCCTACCTCTTACACTTTATTGAATTGGACTCTTTGTGGGCGCCGGTATGACGGCTCTTGTACCCTGACATGTTTGAACACATCCGACGATTTATCTCATTCACAATGCTCAAGGGATGGGGCGGGGTTCAACCTTTTTTATTAACGTGTGCGGTAAGCAATATTGTACGAGACTCCACAATGCTACAAATAAAAGTTTAATTAATTTTTTATTTAGCCCCGTTTGATAAATATTAAAATTTTAATTTTAATTAAGTCAAAATGCACAATTAGTTTTAATTCTATATTTTATAGGATCTATAATTTTTCAATCATACACTTCATCAATTTTTATGAAAATCTACTCTTAATATTATACATTATCCATAGACAAGACCGTACAAATTCTCTTAACTTTTCAGAGCCTGTTTGCGAGGAATTTTTGGGGGGAAGAATTGATTTTTGAATAGTGATATGATGGGAAATGTGTGGTTGAAAAAGAAGAAAAAATTATTGATGTGATGGAAAATATTATTTTATTGAAAAATGTGTGATTGAAAATAAGAATTGATTTACTGTAGAATTTGAAAATCCCTCCCAAACATCCCCTTATAATGCTAATGTTTAACTAGAGTTTGTAGTGGTATTAGAAGAATGATAGTTATATTGATCGGGATACGCTATAAATGTCTCATGATTGAATTTAGTTAAAAAATTAATTAAATTTTAAATCAAAGTCGAAAAAATAATTTTAAATATTTTCATGGAATTTATAAATTTTTCAATTGAAAATGAAAATGAGTTAGATAATGGAACTAGAACATGAGCTAAATCAAACCAAAAATAAGCTTATTGTTGAAAAACTCACTAAAGGGCGTGTTTGGTAGATATTAAAATCGGATTAAAATTGAAAAATTAGCCATTATTATTACCTTTTATTACACTAGTGAGACCCAATAACAGTTATATTTTCAATTTTAATCCGATTTTAAGGTGTAACAAACATGCTCTAACAAATAAAAAGATATTTCTAGAAGATTATTAAAGGTTTGTTAGAGTCCATTTTTGGGAAATATATTTTATAATAGTAATATTTTGAAAAATGTATAGTTCGAAAGTAGGAAAAAATTATGAATTTACTGTAAAATTATTTTATTATGAGAATATATACGATTGAAAATAAATTTTAAAAAAAATAAATTATAAAGGATAGTGGGGCTTAATCTCTACCAACCAAACAAAGCGGGGCTTAATCGTATGATGTAATATCCATGGAGGAAGGCTCCCTTGTGGTCAAGAGTATAAAGGGTGTACAGACTCTGGTCAACTTGGGCATATCCCCCGGTTAACCTCCACCCATCACTGAGGGGTCGGGGATTGGTGGTCCAGGACATAGTCTAGTGTAAGTTACCATACCTGGATATAAAAAAAAAAAAGAAAAAAGAAAGAAAATAGGAGAAGAAACTTGATGGTATTGGGTGGAGAGTGGGGCCCTTAATTGTAGGCAAAAGTTACTGGGTTTGGTGGGGTTGCACCTCAATGCATGTGCAGAAGTGGTCCAAAGTCACCTCAACAAGAGGAACTGTTTGGATGCACTCTACAAAGTACAAACAGGCAGTGGCTCACTAGTTGACGTGCATAATAATTTTTTAAAATTATTTTCTTGTCACGAGTTGAAATTCCATTGTCCAAAAGTTTATAACTTTGCCTAACGAGAAAATGGATCGATTTGATCCACTGGATAAGTTTCAGGCAAAATTATAGCAGCCGCCAGCCGTTATTAATCTTTTCAATTTTTACAGATTTTACTCTAACCTTCAATTTGTACCAACAAAGGTCCGTAATCTTTCAAAAATACGCTTCTAAAATCCAAATGGATGAATCATTAGATGATCAACAAATTAATTTTGACCAAATTTAATGGGGATGAAATGGTAACTTAGTTGATAAAATAAGAAAATAAACGAAAAAAGGTTGTCTCCATCACTTCACAAACCCTTTCCCATCCCCATTGCACCACCCCTAAAAATCAACTACCAGCACCACCGTCTAATGCTATCACCACCTCCAGCACAACCATCGTCATCAAAGTGATCGTTAAACGTTCAGTGATCGTTTCGGTCACTATTTAAGTTCATTGACTTTTATTCAGTGACCGTTCTGGCCACTGAATTAAATTTATTTTTTTATTTTTTTCTCAATTCAATTTTTCTCTTTAAATATCCTTCACTTAATCCATTTTTTTTCCACCAAACTCTCATTATCTACTCTCTAATCTCTTGATTCTCTTTTGCATTTTACATTATTGAGTTATAATCTCGATTTTACAATATATTTTTTTACACTACTACATAGTCTACATTCATTTCTCAATTCTACTTCAACGTTCAATTTCAATTATTCAATATCAATTATCCCACTACAATTTTCAATTACAAGCTTACACTCAACTTTCTTTCAATTCTAAATTTGTTACTTACTATACATTTTATATCAATTCACAAATGGATCAACGCTTATTTGTCGAAGGCTTGTTCGGTATCGGAGGTGAATCACCTATCACGCCGCAGAGTCAATTTCAAAATGAATTCGCCGGTCTAAATGAATTACATATTCCCGAAAATATTCCGA